CAGAAACACGAAAACTGCAATAAATCAAAATCGATTATTGCAATGACCACTGAGCAAAAAATTAGACTGTTATAAATTTTTGGATTTTGGGCGTGGCGTTTGTAACTCGGTAACCGCTTTATAAATTTTTACGAAACTTGGTGTATTTAATAACCTTGGCACGAAAAAGCAAATCGTTGAAAATTATACAAATCGGACCAAAATTGCACCGGTTTCTCGTATAAGGGTAATTTTCGGATATACGTAAACTCCTATATTTCAATAACTGGGTCGATAATTTACTCCAAGTTAATACTTACAACAATCACTTAACAATAAGTAAGACTGCCATAGACTTTTAGGTAGTTTAAAGAAAGTTGAAACGACAATAGTTGGTACCTGCGCCGGATATATAAAATTCGATTTCGCCCGAACTTATAATTCTTTACTTGTTTTTATAAACGTTTATGCAAACAAAGTTATATCACCTTTTAAGCATAAATGTGCTCGGGTATTTATAGAAAGTAAGAAATTAGCCGATAGTTCTCTATGCAATGCTCATAATAATAATAATAGATTGGCGCTTACACATATGTTAGTGTTTGGCCGAGCTTCTCCTCCGATTTGTGGCGTGCGCCTTGATGTTGTCACACAAAGCGGAGGGACCTACAGTTTTACGCCGACTCCGAACGGCGATAGTATTTTTATGAGAAGCTGTTTTTGATGGCAGAAATAAATCGGAGCTTTGCCATTGCCTGCCGAGGGACGACCGCTGTTAAGAAAGAAATCCCTTTTCTATTTTTTTTCGATGTTGCTTTGACCAGGGTTTGAACCCAGGAGTTGCGGAGTGGAAGCGCGCACTGCTTACCACTACACCACAGCGGCCGACAATGCAATGCAATGCTCATGCCTGACTAAATTTCCTCAAGTAAGATTTTTTGGACAGCACCAACTTTAGGGAAGATAAACTTTAGGGAAGATAGTAGAAAAAAGGACCCTTACTTAGTAATACTGAACTCTGATAAACACTTCCGACGTTGGATAGATTATTTCAATTATAGCTCGATCGTTAATACACAGACTGTTCCTAAGATATGGAATTTTGACTCGGTTAACGAATGCTGGTACTAGAATAGTTTTTATGGTATGGTTTCTCTGATAACACCAATTTAGTATAACTATCTATGCGCTGGATACATTACTGCCAACACAGAATTTTCCACTATTAAAAACTTATTTTAGTCAAAATTGTAGAAAGAAACAAAAAAACGGTGAGGCACTTAAACCTAATTTTTGGTCGCACATTACGGATATCTGTACCGGTTTGCTAGATATGGTCATTTTCCCAAAATATTTTAGTTACGCAATCGTTTGCATTGCAGATGAAAAAAAAAGTCAAACCTTAATGGAAAATGTTACTCATACGCCATGTACGAGTACAATCATGTAAGCTATGACGTGTGAGTAACATTATTTCCTGCTCCTATTTCATAAAAAAAATTATTGCAAATTTTCATTTCATCGTTCACAACATGCTTAGTTATCCATCCATTTTCTTTTTTAGTATCTTGATTTTTTTCATAAAAATAAAAATATCTTGGGAAATGACCTGATCTGGAAAAACGGTATACAGATCCATAATTTGCGGCCCAAAATTAAGTTTACATATCTCAGCGTTTTTTGTGTCATTCCCAAATTTCAGATTTTCCCTACAGTGTAATTTTATATGCTCCTTCTTTCAGGTATCGACACCGATAAATACAAATATCCAATTGGTTCCGGACGTGTTACTTTCAACAACAATCGCTCCTACATGAAGGCGGTGTCGGCAGCTTTCATTGAAATACGCACATCTAAATTCACTAAAAAAGTGCAGGTAGATCCATATTTGGAAGATTCACTCTGCTCCATCTGTGGTGTGCAGCACGGACCGTACTTTTGTCGTGAACTCTCCTGCTTTAGGTAAGTACAATTTGGAATTAGCAAATTCATATCAACATTTCAATGAAAAAAGTGTTAATAAAAATTGTTTTTTGAGCTGTTGTTTGGTTGGATCTAGGGATGTCAGTGACAAAAATACATCGATATATTACTTTTCGATACATCGGCGGGCATACATCGATGCATATGGTCTGTATCTGTCTATTGAATCAGGTCAATAACTCTTTCGTAAAATCATAGAAATCATAAAAATTCGAATTTTTAAGTAATCAAAAATAAAAAATAAAAAATGTGACAAGGAACAAACATTAGCACAGTAAATACAACCAATATTTTCCGCACTTAGCAGACGACAAAGTTTGTGCGCCTTAAGTGACAACGTACGTATGTATGTGCATTTAGCAAATAGCGTGGCAAACATCGCTTTGTTATCGATTCACTGGCACACAAAAATCAAAACAAAACTCTTTTTAAAGTTTTAATGTAACTACTACTTAAGAAAATTTAATAAATTTAAATTTTTTATGCTTTGTTCCAAAAATGCATGTGAAATAGTAAAGTCGGAATTTTCATGATCTCATCCCCTAGGATGGTTCTATAACGAAAACAATATACCCCTATTTTATATTTTGAAATCAAAAAATATTTAGAGGTCGCTCAAAGCGCTCAAAGTTTTCTCAAAGAATTCTAGAAAATCAATATTTTTCGATCGGAAACCCCTGTTTATCTTCAGGATATCAGCAATAACAATACCCAATTATTTATTTAACTATTTTTTTCATAGCAACTATATTTTGAAGGTCCACCAAAACTCTAAGAAAATTCCAGAAAATGCAATTCTGGGATAAATAAAAAATATGTACTTTAAAAAATGGTTAAATAAACAATTGAATATTGTTACCGGAAGTCTCCTGAAGAGAACCACAGAACAATCCTAGGGGGTGAGAGCATTAAAATTCCGACTTTACCTATTTTGGACCACCATAATATACATACATACATACAAATGCATAAAGCGTTATTCAACTGGGACAGGCCTGTGGCGACTATGTTCATTTTGACTATGTTGATTTTTATTATTTTTCATTGTCATATTTATATGATTTAAATCATTTTCAATGACTTTATGGAGAGTATAAGTATTTTGCGCCAACACAAGCTGCTAGCATTGCGTTTATCTTTCTAAAACTGGACGCTTCACCTATGGCAGATCTCATATAAGCTGTGCCACAAAAAATAGTAATTTAGTTTCGATTTCACTGAAATTTGCCATGTAGTTAGTAACTTTGCCTAGGAAAAAAGAAGTACAAAAAATACCCTCTCCTACTACATTAAAGAGCAGGTATGGTAGATGTTGTCCGATTTTAATAAAATTTGATTTTTATAAATGGATTTTTTTAGAACTGGTGGGCGTGGCAGTTGGCCGATTTAACAATCTTACAGATTTAAGTTTTTCTGATTAAAACTAAGATAAAAACCGAGTTTCATTAAAATCGGATTACGTCTATCATTTGCGCCCCTAGTGTAGTAGGCGTGGCAGTTCTATGCGATTTTTCTGATTTCTTCATTCCTAAGAAAAAATATCACAGATAACAAATACAGTAAAATCCGAGTACAATTGGTACTTTTGCCATGTATAATATGGAAAATTATTATTTTTTTGGCAAAATCTAATATCTCGAAATTTTACAATAAAGTAAAGCAATTACCTTGACCTTTAAAATTACCTTCAGAAACAGAAGTTTTTTACCTGAAAACAGTATACTATGAACTTGTGTCAAGGAATTCATTTTCATTGTCGGAGTAGCCATAAAACACATTCAAATTATTTTTTTTTATAAAATTCGTTGCATGCAGCTTTTAGGTAAAAAAAGAGAAAAATCAAAAATATTACTTTTGAAGAGGCCATTTGAATGGTCTGATTTCAATTTTTGGGTCAAGAAACAGCATGCAATGAACTTTAAAATAATTTAAAATGTGTGTTTTCACTTCTTGTGCTATTTGAACGGTATAACTCGCGGTCAAAATAATTATTCGCACGGTGATTTATTTTACAATATTCAATAAATTTATTTACTTTTATTATTATATATTATGTATTACTTTATTTCGTTTCTCAAAATTCTTAATCAAAATTTTTATGAACAGTTTTTGAATTTTTTAAAGTTTTGTAAAAAGTTATCAAAATAGGAACTATGTATGTATATTTGCGTGAAAAATTAACGAAAAAAAATAGTATGCAAAAAATTGCGAATATTGTAAAACAAATCACTGTACTAATAATTATTTTGACCAATGTGCATTAGGGCGCATCAATTTATATTGCAGATTTTTTCGACTAAGCTCACATAGCACATAAGAATTCTACGTGGAAGTCTAAGAAAATTTGCCGATGAAACTATGAAATCGATTTAGGGTTGGCCAAATTACGAAAATAGGTTTCTTAGCATTTGGCTGTAGTGTCGTAAGGAAGCGCTTAAATTTTGTATAAAAACATGATTTAGGTGTTTTTTTTTTTTGGTAAGAACCTTTTCTGCACTTTCCTTTTCTTGAAACTTCCACCAGGGGGCGCAACAGGGAAAATTTTAAAATTGTCTTCGAAACCTATTTTTGCAATTTGCCAAACTCCAAATGGATTTTAGAACAATGTTTTCTTCGGAAAATTTGCTTAGAATCCTCCTATGCTATACGCGCATAGTCAAAATAAATTGTCCCGCCCTATACAGTGTACATGCACACACATATTTCAGCCATAATGACATACGCGTTAAATGAAAAAATATTTTGGTTAATATCTACCACACAGCTTTGTGTATATTGTCTTCAGAGAGCTTTAGGTTGTGATTTTTTTGTAGACTATTTTAAACCCTTAACTCCTACCAGAAGGGATTCTTTTTTATCTGAATAACTTCTACTTAAAAAGAATTAATAGATCGACGAAATATTTACTAGCTCCAAAATCTTATTGCAGCGACTAGCTTACATATTACACATACGTTTATAATAAACATTATATTACGTATTTTAGATACTTCTGTCGATCGTGCTGGCAATGGCAGCATTACTCCGATGGCGTTAAAAATCACAAGCCACTAACGAGAAATTCAAAATCACAAATGTTAGTTGGAATCGGGCCTAGTTCCTCCTCTGCATCGTTGTCATCCATAAACTCAAGCTCTCAGCCCCAACAGCAACCAAATTTGCAGTCACAACATGCATCCCAACAACAGCAGATGCAGCAACAACAACAACTGCAGCAACAGCAACATGCTCATCAAAACCACTTGAATAATGGCTATCAACAATTTGAGCATGCGCATCAGCATCAAAACAATTCACATTTGCACCGTTTGCATCAGATGCAGCAACAGCAACAGCAACAGCAACAACATCGAGCATCGCCACAGTCAATGTTTCAAATGAACCAGCAGCAACAACACGAACAATTGCAACACCAACAACAAAATCAGCAGCAATCTATATTTTAAGCAGTGTTTTGTTAGTGTTAAGCACGAAATTCAATTGAATCTTTAAGTTGCTAGTTAGCCTAGCTTATCTCACACACAAACGTACATATGTATATCCAATTGAATAATGTGTAAATTAGTTTAATTCCTATCTCCCAGTAATTTTCTTTCCTTTTGTTAAAAGTTCTATATTTTTTGTTAATTCTACTTTTAGGCTGCATAAAAATATTTTTGTAAATATTCTTAATTTTTAGGCACAATCTTTAAAAATGCTCACACGCATTGAGGCACTCACATGAGTTGAGTTGCAAAATTAAGTACTATAAAAAATTTTAGATTTTAGAAAGTGAGCGGCAAATTACGGACTTGTACATATGTATATACAAACATACATACATACATACAGACATACAGTACTCATGTAACATATCAACTTTTTGTAGTCTTAATTTGAGCTCCTATGTGTGCTTTCTAAAAGCTGAACTGTTTATTTATAGTTTCTTTATTTTTGCCGTAAATTAGTTAGGGCATCTACCTATAAGACCTGCTATTTTTTAGAAACGAGTTATTTCTAATTAGGTTAGCAAATGTACTATAGTTATTTGTAGTTTGCCATTAAAAAATATTTAGGCATATCTTATTTGTAAATAAGCTATCGTAAGATAATTATTTTTCTAGAGAGTGTACTTTGTTTGAGTGGTGGAAAAATCATTTTTCACTTTAGTATTGAAAATTGAAAATTTTCCAACACAATTTCAAAGATTAGTAAACTAGTTTATTTATTTATATTATATTATATTTTTATGCAGATGTTTGCTTCCCAACTTTATGTCTTGCCCTTATAAGTTGCTGTTTTGTTATTTAGTTACATATGTATATCGTTTATTATGCTTCAAAATATTGTGTGATAATCAGTTTGATTATGTTGTTGTTATAATTACAAAATTATATTTGTTTACCATACTTTTTTTTTGTAAAATGCTTGGTCCAAGCCAGCATTCAAATAATGAATTTGAATCAGTTCTATGCTTGTCAATGAATCGATTTAAGTTTTTTTTTTCGTTATTGTGAAAATAAATTTTCATTTCTCTTTAAAAAAAATATCAGAGATAACGCCAATTCACACTTGCTTGCATATCAAATAATTACAATTTGTTGCAATTGTTATTATATATTGATACACAAGCAAGCGTTTCTAGGACGTTTGTTTATTTTTAGTTATTTTCAATTTTAATACATTTGAGCTTCATTCGAAAAGTCTAACAAAAATGCAAAACCTAAAAACTTTAGGAAACCGACGCCGATTTCTAAAAGAGGCGTTAGTCGACCTTTAACTTGGAATTACAAAGTTTTAAATTGCAAATTTTTCTAACCAGTCGATGCAAATACAGTTCGGTCAATATTTATAGAAATTTTTTGGAAATAGGTATCCCCAAGCCCGCTATAAACGGTTGATGAGTCGTTTTTCACAATTATTTCAGGGGAAACAAATTTCACTAGTCAACTATGTGACCGCGAATATAAATTCATAGTTAAACTCTTGTTTGTAGTTTAGCTAACAATGGTTTCACTACGCACTGTGAATTCGGTCCTAAAAAGTACATATATAAAAAATTTAAAAATATATTTCTAAGCGATTGACAACATTGAAGAAACACTTTTGTTATAACAAATATCCTTACTAATAGTCTNCAAGAATGATAGAATACAAGATTGCGCCGATCAGAGAGGATTTTTGAGAATAACTTTTGTGTGACGTCACACTGGTGCAATTGCGAGAGAGAAATGCCAAAACGTGAGCAAGAATGGAAGAAGAAGAAAAAATGTTGCAAGGAAAACGTAAACAAGTTGCACCAGTGTGACGTCATGAAAACAACGATTCTGTCAAATTCGTTAAGAGAGGAATAGCGGTCCGAGATCGGCGCAACCTTTGTATTCTCTCAATCGTGGGTAGCAAGGGTAGAATATTTAGACCAACTTCGAAAGCATTTTAGTAAGTCTGCCATTTATGTAAGTATTTTAACATTCAATGTTACTATTATTCGAAAATAATAATGGCAGACATTTATGGCGGCTTTGAATTTTAGAATTTCACATATTATACTTGGTATTAGAAGCCTGTATTTACCGGGGCAGATATTCTCTCCGGGAATAACATCCTGGCAAAACAGCTAAAACTAGCCTGGGTGCCTGAGCACACGTATACATATTATGTACACTAGACCGGTAGGATAGAAAAACTTTGCAAAAGCTTACTTAACGCTTACTTCGGAACGATTTTAGGGTCATAAAAATTTGTGTCATGGGCGAGTCCTAAAAACTCCCAAAATCTAATTTCCTTCATAACTATTTTAGATGTTATTCGATTCTCGGTTAGAAAGATAATGTTGACTACTGCGTATTCTTCTCAGATAATTCTACCCTAGAATGCTTCCTTAACCTACTAAGTTCAATTTCTACCCCAGAGTTTGGGGGAATGTAGAAATGTAGGTTTTTAAGGCACTTAAACTTGAAAAAGGTAAACCGAACTTCAAAAAAAGGCACATATTTTTTTTTAATTTTTTTATGTACTTCCTTTATGTACAATGTGACAAATTATAATTTTAACGTATTATATTTGTTGTTATTGAACTTTTGTTATATTTAAAAAAAATATAGTTCGTTCTTTAACAAAACCCGTGGAAATTCATGTTTCCAAATTTGAGCAGTCCACTTGCAAAGGCGCTATGTAAAAAACTTGTATTTATACGAATGTTGGTAAAGAACGAACTATAAAAGACTAACCGAAATTAAATAACAACAAAAATAATATTTTAAAACTTGTCAAAATTTGGTGCGGCTATAGTTTTTTCGACTACTGTACATAAGTTGTGGCATAAGTTGGTTTTTATGAAAAATTTTATTTTTATCAGATTTTTCTTTTAATCAAAATATGTTGAAATAAAAGTGAAACTAAAAAAAATTTGCCATCAATACCTAACTCAAGGAGCGAAATGGGCGTTATTACAGATTTAGGTGTGGCACCTCCCATTAGAGCTGGGATACTATCGATCGCCACTCTATAGCATTCGAAACGATAGTTGAAAACATCGATAGTATCGATAGTACTATCGTTGTGAAAGGTATTGAATTGAAACGCTCAATTTCTTGAAAATTAAATCATTAAATTTGAGTGTATCAAAAAGAACTTCTTATAATAGTAAAATAAAATTATTAATTTATGCGTCTAAATTATATATACCTTAGGTCTTTGTATGCGGTATATGCGTTCCTCAGAAAGACGCATAAAAAATCCGCATAAAAAAGTGCTTCAAAAACCGGGCATGCGTTCCAGCATTTTCAAAAATCGCATAAATTCAGATACTTCACGTAAAAAATTCTAAAAAACCGCATTAAAAAATCCAGTGGGGCAATATTAAGCAAACAAACTAAACAAATTATTTCTTCACTTCTACATTTATTATTCCATGTAAAACTGAACATGAACGAAATAAATAAAATTGTATCTGTATTTTAACCAAAAACAAACAAAAATACTACAATAAATACATGTATGTTCTTACATAGCAAAGACAAATTATTTATCAGAAGCACTGTATCTTACAAACTAAAAAAAGTAATAAAAACTCTCAAAAAAAATAACATCGCTACAGCGAAAAAATGATTTGAAAACCGCTTAAAAAGAGACCTAAGTGTACTTATATACTTGCACTTGCATCCACTCAAATAGCGACAGGCAAAATCTGAATTAATTTTTTATATGGAAAAATTAAATTTGATTTTTTTTGTCCCTTTGGAAGTGTAGAGAAGTGAAATTGGCTATAACACCGTGCGACAGACAATTTTACACACAAAAAATCGATACATTCACAAAACTGTGGGCCAAATATAGTAAAATTGCGTTTTTAGTATTTCTCTCTGACGTCAGGATTTTTTTTATAAAGGACTTTGAAATTTCTAGAATATGATTTATTAACAAAATTGTTCAAAAGATGCGGTGCATTGTAGAATAACAATATGGTTATCAATTAAAAGGAAAAATTGTGTAGAATTAAAAAAAAATTAATTTTTGGGTGCACCAGGATGAATAAGTATTGAAAATGTCCTTTTAAAACTTTATCCTTGAATATCTTCGGAGATTTGCAATATTTATTTTTGAAAAAAATATATATGCTAAGGACTAATATGTTAACTACCACATCCTTGAATTTCGTCCTTCTGACTTTATTAGTTTTAGATAACAAAAAATTACACTTCTCTTTATAGGATATTGATAGTTACAATATACATAAATGAAGATACTGGAATCATTATTTTGGAACCATGTATGTGCTCTAAAAGAACAAACTGACTGTCTGATATATCTACGGTTTAAATACTTTAATTGTTTTGTATACAAGGGCGTATCCAGCTTTTCGTCTAGGGGGCAGGAGTTTATATAGAGGAAAAAAATATTTCTAATTATATTTTTTTTTTTGTGTATACAAATCGAAATTTTTCGGTATAAGTATAGGTTTTATAGCCTTTACAACGATACCAATTTTCTTAAAGTGGCTTAGTAATTTTTTTATTTAAAATATTTTTCTTTATTAAATTGGGTATGTTTTGCTTTCAAGTGTTAGTAATTTGTTTGTTTAAAATTTTTTTATAAAAAGACATTTTTTCCTTTTAAATGTTTTCTTCAAAATTTTACAAGCAAATTATACAAATATGCATATCAGAAGAGAAGAAGGGGTCCTTATAACGTTTACAACTACCAACCTTTTAAAAATCAGTTAAAAATTGTTTGAAATATAAGGCTTTTAATTTTTCGAAGACCCGACCTTTGCCCCCTTATAGCACCTGTAATACATGTTTGCAAAAAAAAACTTATAAACCATTTAAATAAGAGCAAAAGGGCGTCTATGACTGAATTTTTAGTTGTTTAGTTATTTACATATCATAATAAAAGATAATTTTTTACCAAAGATCCTATTTCGAACTTCAAAGGCCCATATCTCGATTTCGGAGACTAACTTCGAAAAAGGGAGAAATTACTTTTTTATCTATGACTCAATCTCTTAAAAAAGATTGGTTTGTTCCAATACCCA